CCAATTCTCAAGTGTGAATGGTCATTTTTAGAAATATTTACATGGAATTGAATTAAAAAGCATCATCTACATGAATTTCAAAAATTTTCATTCTACGAAACATAAAATTTTAATAAGAACTATTGGGCCAGATCATCTAGTGTAAATAGGTATAGTTCTACTTTAGTCAGTGGAACCATCCCAATTTACACGAGATGATTATCTGTTTATTTTTTAGGCTACGTCTAGACTACAAGCCTCTTTCGAAAGAGACCTGATGAACAGTGAAAGTGTTGAAATGAAAGTATGATATTTTTCTTATGATTTTTCAAAAAAACCCTGTAGTCTATACACACCCTTATTATAAGAAAACTATCATACTTCCATTTCAACACTTTCACTGTTCATCACAGGGAAGAGACGTTGCAGTTATATTGAGTTTGCCATGGGATAAAAACAAGAGGTAGCCAGGTAGCTAGCAGAAGTTCCTAAAAGCATAAACCTGAACAGCCACATTTTACTGTATCTCTGCTGCTGCGTCTCTTTCCTTCCTTTTCTACAATAGCTCTTTAAATAAGTATAATTGTTGCGGAAATTTATAATAAAGACAGACAGACCTTGGACACAGGCATTAACTATTCTAAATGCCTGTAGTTTTGTTAATATGCCCTGTGTTAAAAGTGTGTGTTCAAGTTGACATGAGAATCAGTCCAGCAGGTCTAAAGTCCAAGCAGGATTAAATACCTGACAAAAGACTGTTCAAGCCCTTCCTTCAAGGCAGTTGATTTTCCAACCAAAAACATACAAAGTAAAAGAAAAATAGAGCTATGTCCTTGATCAAAACAGAATGAAGTGGTAAAGAGATCCTTCCTCTTGCATATCAAAAGGCCATGCCAAGGAGCAACCTTCCTTCTTGCAGCTCTCTTCAATGGACCTCTTTCAGCTCTTTCTAGAACTCATCTGAACTCCTTGCCAGTCAGTCTGATTAGTCCCCCTCCCAGACCCAAACACCTGTACATAAAATGTCTGTCTCCAAACAGTGTATGATGGCTCTAGGCCCTTAGATGGATGGAAGGGCTTGTAAGGGACCAGGGAAAGATTCTTAAAATACTGAGCTTTGGCCCTTTTTAGGGGGCCTTCCCTCTAGGATCCCTGGGGGCATGTCTACACTGCAGCCAGAAGCGTGCCCTTGCACCCAGATAGACAGATACAAGCCCTGCTCAAGTAGCATGCTAAAAATAGCAATATGGATGCTACAGCATCGGCTACCTGACCAAGTACAAGTCTGCTCAGCCCTCTGCTTCTGTTACTTGGAAGCTAGTCTGTGCCACACTAGTCCATACTACTATTTTTAGCGTGTCAGCTTGAACCACTATCCTGGAAGCTCTCAAGAATATCTGCTGTGAGCTATAAACACCCTAATTGAAGGGGAGAAAGTGTTGCATTTTTAACAAAAGTTTCCTTTATTCTAAGTTTTAATCAGTCATTGAAATTACAGGTGATTTTCAGAACACCAATGTAGTCTGTTTTGATTATGATTGAGGGTACGTCTAGACTACAGGCTTTTGTCAACAGAAGTTTTGTCGACAGAATCTGTTGACAAAACTTCTGTCGACAAAGAGCATCTAAACTACATCAAGCAGATAGACAAAGCTATTCGCTTTGTCGACAGAGAGCGTCCAGACTGCTGGACACTCTGTCGACAGAAGGCGGCACCCAGAACTGCTTCTGCCAGGTCACAGGAGTAGCATGTACTTCCTGGTGCTGCTGCCTGCCCTTTGCAGAGACGTGTGCTAAAAGGGATCCCCCTGACTAGCCGTTGGTCTGCTGCTGCAGCTGCCTTGCTTATCCCCTAGAGCAGTGTTTCCCAATTGGTGCTCTGCGGAACCCTGGGGTTCCGTAGAGCAAAATGAGGGGTTCCGCGAGGAGCCGGCGCTCCCCCACTCCCTCTGAAAGAAACAGAGAGAGAGAGAGCCGGCTAGCCAGCAGAGGCATGGGCGGCGAGTTGTGTGGGCTTGTGGTGCCCATGCTCCCGCAATAGCTGGAACTGGAGCTGGACCCGGACCCGACCGCGCGTCCTCCCAGGCCGGCCCCAGAGCGTCTCTCCCCCGTCCCCGTCCTCGCCGTGCGCGACCTTCCCTGAGCTCCCCCTGGCTGGCTGCTGCTGCCCTGCGCAGCGCGCTCAAACAAGCAGGTGAAGAGACGCCCGGACATGACTTAACATCACAGCCCGGGATTTTAAACTTGCTGGGCGCTGTGATCTACCGCATGGCTGAGTTGCGGCTTTGGAGTCCGGGGACAGAGCACAGACTTCCACAAAGTGGAAGGCAGAAGGTACGGAAGAGGGAGAGGGAAAGGGAGGGGGAGGGGAGAGAAAGGGGAAGGGCTAGGAGAGGAAGGTGCTTGTGCGGAGGCGGAGGGGAAGGGGAAGGCACCCAGTGGTCCCCAACACGGTGCCCGCGGGC